TTTATTAATAGAATCTTATAATCTTAATAACATTTCCCGAGTAAATATGTAATAGATATACCATTATATAACAAGATAAGAAAATTGAGTTGATTCACTTTCCTATGAAATGATACTAAAGTTAAAAACATATTTATTGTTTTAATTCACATTTATGCAGTTTTATAGAGTTTCTCACTACACAAGAAAAAATTGAACTCTCTTTATATTCGATGTCAGCCAGTTGTTAAAATGTTACAGATTTTCGTCTATAAGAAAAGTGAAAATTACAGCCATTTTTGTTGTTGTTCATTAAGAGAAAGTAAAGTTGGTTAGATATCTTCAGATTACCAGTTAGTTTTTCTATTAAGGTGTTCAGGCGTTATAAACGTTTACCTGTATTAGCTAATACACCTCCTGGACGTAGGAAGGTAATTATTCACTAATTGGTTTTCCTTGTCTATATAGGGAACGTTATCCATTATATATTAATGCTATATGTATCTACCTGTATGGTTGTGTGTGAAATTATTATTATTATTATTATTATTATTATTATTATTATTATTATTATTATTATTATTATTATTATTATTATTATTATTATTATTATTATTATTATTATTATTATTATTATTATTATTATTATTATTTCTCCTGAGTCTGGTTCCTGTCGTATAAAAATCATCCTTTGCTTTTACTTAAAAGTGTAAGTGTTTAAAGTTATGAACGTATGAAAGCAAGATTTAATATTAAGTAAAATAATAGAGGACTAAAAAATTCGAGAATGATAACCTGACAAAGGGCCTCCCAAACATGTCCCCGGCCGAATGCTCGGGGACATAATCGATTGTACCGGAAAAATAACGTGAACACCTTGTATACACGGGAGTGAAAGATGGCTTATCGTCTCGAACTGCTCTCACAGGTAGATATCTTACTTGTTTAGCTTGAATATATTTAGGAAAGGGAAGATTTTGCTGTTTTGTGGGAATGAAAAATGATGCGCATTTAGCCAAGCGCTGGTCTGCTGAAGCTTTGAGTATATTTCACTGTCTGCGTGTCCGAGGTGTCGAGGGATGTTTTTATGACCGGTTTTTTCGCGTCGTTTTCAGGGTACGCATGATGATGGCGATACAGTATTGTAATTCATGATACTGATTTATACATGATAAACGTCGGACAAAAATATCATAGGTAAGGATAAGGGGGATTATTGCTCCGCTGAAACATGATGGTGTGTATTTACAGTAACCATTAATTATTAATTATTTTGGCTGTATAAGCAGCCAGGACACACTAACCCATGGAAGTTAATTATTAAGAGAATGAATTATCTCCCTACCCTTAACCACCATTAACCATTAAAAAACCCGCCAATCCGAAATCTGCTTTTAGTATTGTATTGTATCTGATCAGCAGTGTAGTGCTGGGTACACCACCTGAACTGAACATCACTAATGAGCTCTCCGAGTCAAAATCTCTCAACAACCTTCTCATGACACTCACACTCCATACCTTAATGCGATCACATCAAGTTACTTGGAGCTAGCGACGTAATGCTAAACAATATATTCAATACCAACACCGATCCAACAGCTTACATATAACGTTAAGGTTTTATGTTTGAGGACCAAAGCTTCTTATCATTAAGTGTTCCTAATTGCTTAATTTACTATGTCGCTAAATCTTTATTCAAAGCCAGAGTGTAAATTGTGGTATTGTCCGAGGGGGAAATGTTACCTATTGTCTATTAGTCTTGAACACAGACGAACGATAAAACGTGACCAACAAACTTGATTCATTTTACAACAATCTTCTCACATAAAGAAAACTATGTATATTTGTTTATGCTTCTTTTTGTCTAATTTAAGTAAACACAATATATCAAATATAAGTAAGGTTTCTCATTGAACTTATTACACTAATTCCAATTTCGAATAATAAATGCAAATACACAGGAGGTAAAACGAGTTCTGTGTACTTATATTTTTCTCTTAATACTGAAAGTGTCAACAAACTTTCTAATCCTCATTTCCTGTGTTTTTCTTCGTATTTGGACTTTGAATTGGTGGTGTGTCAGCTGTATCACTTGAGGGCTCTTCACTCACGTACTCTACCAAAATGCTATTCATGTTAATGGTAATATTTAAGAAGGAAAAAGAAACAGTGATTAAATGAGTGAAAATATTCTAGTCTACCTTAGAAAACTGTCACTATTAATTCAAGTGCGTGTCCCTTCCTCTTCCCCTTTCCTTCTCCACAAAACTGTAAGCTTTAAATAAGGTTGCAGTATTCACTTCTGCTTTAGAGATTCGTAATTATTGAATGAAGTCAGATCCCCCTTTCCTGGATCATAAATATGTAATTATTGGGTAAGGTAAAAAATTTCCCCCCTTCTACTGTTACAAAGAAATGAAATAAAATAAAATAAAATAAATGGTAAATAAAACGATAAAATCCAGTCTTTTATTGTCTTATTACGTTACATTATCGTTTTCCCTCATTAATACTGAAACTATAATAGACAGTGAGCGTTCCCCTTCTGCTTCACAAAATCAATAGATGATTCCTTAACAACACTCACTACAACCTCGGACAGCATCAGCAATTCCACTCATCCTTTTAAGCTACTTGTGAAATATTTTAATAAGACAACTTGAAGAACTTAGATTGTTCTGAAATATATATATATTACTTTAAATTGATGTAATGACCTGAAGCTATATTTTGTTGTTTTAAGTTAATAAAGAACCTCGGAGTTACATGATAAATCAAATATGTAGACGAAGAGAGACATTTAAAAGCGTCTCTCCCCTTCTGCATAAACAAGTTTTTCCTCTCATATTTCCCTCGTAAAAATTATATTAAGATATGCAGAAGGTTAACATACACCAGACGTTGTTTCAGACACTGTACATAAGTTAATAGATTATTTTCTTCGTATAAACACCTTTGCAATAGGAACTGTATTCATCTAAAGTTTAACCCTGGAAGCCACCAAACACTACTGATACTATTTTGTCTAGTTTTTCTTTTTTATTTGCAGGGGGGAGAAGGGATGTTTTTTTATGGACAAATAAACTATTTGTAACCATGCAACCAATATGTAGAGGCGATCAACCCCTTCTATCCTGCCCCATCACCTGTGAGCGAGGCAGGATGTCACCCGTCTCTCAGGCTCCCTCCCGATGTGTGTGTGTGTGTAAGATACTGATATTCATTTTTTTCCTCTACTTTGTAATTTCTTCATCATAGTTCCTCTGTGTAAAATACTTCTCAGATACTAGAATATATGTTAGTTTACAATAAGTCGATTTTAATTAATTTTCTTTTCTTTGTTCATACATGCAAATAAATTTCCGTAAAATAAAAATAAAATTTATTTCGACTTTTATCTACAAAAGACTTATATCGTTGGTCATCAGATCTTCCCGGAACCAGGTTGAGAACGCCCTCAGGTAGTTGAGATGTCTGGAGGCTTAACACAGGATTATGATGTTCGTTGAGAAAGATACATTACTCGTGCCTCAAAAATTATGATTTTCTATAAAATTTGACATTTTATCTAATTTTCATGTTAATTAGATATCTGGTTTTTGTTCAAGAAAAAAGCTCTTCTCTAGTGAAAAAATTAACAATGAACAACGACGTATGATAAAGCCATATACAATAGTTGGGGAACTAATATTTCCAGTGAAAATATGGGTTTTATTATACTTAAAAATGCAACGTTTTAGATGAATTTGAATTTATTTTCTGTAAGACGACAAGGCAACGATATGCCTCAGTTAGATTAAAGTGAAACAAAAATCACAACCAATTTCAAATTGAAAATTGGTAAATGTAGAAAGATTAGAAACAACAGAAACTAAAATTTCCACTAAACTATATTTGATTAACAGCAGGATAATTCCTACAGCTTAAAGACATACCTCAACTAATCTAAGAAAGAACACAGTAACTCAGACGTGTCACACATACAGTACACACACACTCTCTCTCTCTCTCTCTGTATATATATATATATATATATATATATATATATATATATATATATATATATATATATATATATATATATATATATATATATATATATATATATATATATATATATATATATATATATATATATATATAATTTTTTTTTTTTTTTTTTTTTATACCAGGTTTTAATGCATGTATTATTTAGGTAAAATACTTACACACTACAGAATATGTTTATATTATGCAAGTCGTGCATGTAAAAGCTGCAATCTACTCTTAGTGGTTAGTAGATAGATCAGACTTAAGATATATTCCCCGGGAATTAATAGCCAGACTTATCAAGTCAAAAGCGGACTACAATAGCAGTCGTTTGTTATAGATGAATGAACATAAAAAAAAATATTGAAATACCTCTTCCTTACTGGTTCATTTATAACTGTCAACCATATTGAAACAAGAGAAACATGAATTAATGAGATAAATATCAAACATATTTTAAGTCCTACTATTAATGTATATATGTGCTACAATAAAATTATTATTACATGTACCGTCTGCTAAATCCTCGTAACCTTCCGATGAACCTCAATAGGCCGATATTAACCCGGTGATCGACTGAGATACAACACAACACGATCGGTTGAATTTGCTCAATATCTAGCTACCACCTGATCTCTGTCTCTCAACATTTCTTAGTCTATATCTCCTTCATAATCACCTCTACATAATTATTACTATTAAACATTAACCCAGTCTATGTAAAGTACCATACGTCTATTCAAAATCAAAATTCATCTCCAGTTTGGTCGTTAACTTCGTGCCAAAACGAGCCCTAACGAGGTGAAGTGAAGACGACTGATATGAAACGGTGGGCTGTGAATACCTCCACGGAATCCCCCAAGTCCATTTCCCGAAGACTGACGGCCATTAATGTGGGACGAGCGAGTAATTATTCGGATTTTAGAGCAGTGCCTTCGACATTCTCCTCCTCCGGAAGCTGGGATCAGCCCGCAATGGGAATTATTGGAACGATGATTGACCAACTGATTGTGTCTCGGCCTTGGTTGTGGTAACCTTATTGTGTAAGGTCTTGTGATAATTATTTGTAATGAGACGTTGTGTAAGGGTTTAAGGAGAGGGGCTGTGATGAGTTTATTTAAGAGGTGGTCGATTAAATGTGAAGACAATGGTGGGAGAACTGTATTGAAGGTGATGGGTTGTGAAAGGTTATGCGGATGATTGTAAAGGTGATACGTGTTATTATCATGAGGGGAAACATATTATTAATGTGAGAATTATCGACGTATTATATACAAGAAATCTGGAAGTTATTGTGAGGATTAGCGTGATTTATTTTGTCAGGTGTATTTAGTAAGGGGTTGTGTAAGGTTATTGTGAAGGCTTTTTATAAACTAATGGAATTATTGTAATAGTTGTTAGTAAAGGTTAATGTGTCTGTTGGAGGTTGTGTCAGGTCACTGTGGTGAGAGGTTATGTAAGGTTACTGGTGAGAGGTTATGTAAGGTCACTGGTGAGAGGTTATATACGGTCACTGGTGAGGGGTTATGTAAGGTCACTGTGGTGAGGGGTTATATAAGGTCACTGTAGTGAGAGGTTATGTAAGGTCACTGTGGTGAGGCGTTATGTAAGGTCACTGTGGTGAGGGGTTATATAAGGTCACTGTAGTGAGAGGTTATGTAAGGTCACTGTTGTGAGGGGTTATATAAGGTCACTGTAGTGAGAGGTTATGTAAGGTCACTGTGGTGAGGCGTTATGTAAGGTCACTGTGGTGAGGGGTTATATAAGGTCACTGTAGTGAGAGGTTATGTAAAGTCACTGTGGTGAGGGTTATGTAAGGTCACTGTGGTGAGGGGTTATATAAGGTCACTGGTGAGGGGTTATATAAGGTCACTGTAGTGAGAGGTTATGTAAGGTCACTGTGGTGAGGGGTATATAAGGTCACTGGTGAGGGGTTTTATAAGGTCACTGTAGTGAGAGGTCATTTAAGGTCACTGTGGTGAGAGGTTATATAAGGTCACTGTGGTGAGGGATTATATAAGGTCACTGTAGTGAGAGGTTATGTAAGGTCACTGTGGTGAGAGGTTATATAAGGTCACTGTAGTGAGAGGTTATATAAGGTCACTGTAGAGAGAGGTTATGTAAGGTCACTGCGGTGAGAGGTTATATAAGGTCACTGTGGTGAGGGGTATATAAGGTCACTGGTGAGGGGTTATATAAGGTTACTGTAGTGAGAGGTTAGGTAAGGTCACTGTAGTGAGAGGTTAGGTAAGGTCACTGTGGTGAGAGTCTACATTAGGGCACCGTAAGTGTGTAATATCACAAAGTCTTTTCCTCATCAGTCATCGGATGCTAAAATAATCCAGCGTATTATGCAACATTAAGTAGCTCTTGCAGTTTCTCTTGTGACTGGATCAGATTTATAATTTTTGCAAGAGTTTATGAAAATTACACGGAGGGTGACGATGGTGATGATATTTCGCGCATATGAAAGGATTACATACCGATATATACTGTATATATATATATATATATATATATATATATATATATACGGGTCTCTTCGCAACACACTTCGTCATATATATCTAGGGGACAATTTATAACAAAAAGATTTCGTGTGTGTATGTGTCTTTCTGCCTGTGTCCATCTATCTGTTCATATGTTAATAAGTGTGTCTGTGTGTCTGTGTGTCTGTGTGTTTATACAGGCGTGTCGATTTATGCATGAGAATTTGCAAGAACGTACCTGTGTGTGTGTGTGTGTGTGTGTGTGCGCGCACGTTGTTATACCCCTGTAGTTGTTTGTCTTCGTCTTCACCAAAGCCTCGTTCAGGATACTATGAATATACTCAACGCTTTTACCCCATACATCCTTCTTAAAAAAAATAATCCAATATGAATCAAAACGCTTAAATCAACCTAATGGATGTGAGTGGATGGATATATAATGGAGTGGTGAGATGGTGGCGGATGGATGTGTGAAAGAGGAGTGCTGGATACACAAGTGAGGCTCTCATACCTATAGCATGTGAAACTACCTGAGAAAAAGCTTTTGTCCCACATAATCAACAAAACAAGGTGGAAATGCTTAAGTTTACTCGACACAGTGGTCCCTAGGATGTACACACTATCATAGGAAAAAAATCTACATAAATAGTAAAGGATTTTCAGTTATTTGGATAAACTTGACATATATCTACAGAGGTGAATTCTTCGTTTATTTTGATCTTACAGTCTTTTGTAGGAAGAGGAAGGATTTAAACATTTTATATGACAAGTTTTTTTTAGCTTCCTCGGTTGTTTGTTTTCTAGAAAATATTAATTTGCATACACTGATTGTTTTGTTTATTTTAAATATATAAGTGATTTTTTATAAGACTCACTTTGTATTTATTCTAATACCTTATTTTCATTATTTTACTTGTATTCTTATTATTTGTGTTATTTATTTATTTTTAATTATGAATAGTTTATAATGAGCAACAATTTTTATCTGAAATATATCTTTATTCTTATTCATATTATTATTTAGTTCCCTTAGTCATAAAGAGTCTATACTGAACAATACTTAATCACTGAAACATATCCTAGTACATTCTTCTATAATTCACAAAATTTTAGAACCAATAATTAATACATGAAATATATCCTTATTCGTACATATCAATATTAATTATTTATTTCACTTAAACAAACAATTAACAATATTTATATCGTGAAATATATTCTCGGTAATGTATACTGTATCAGGGTCGAACCGTTACCTACTCGGAGAGGTCAGCTTAACACCAGATAATAATTTCTACCTTAAGTAACATACCGAAATAGATCACCAGCAACAACATTTGTCGCAAATATACATCAAGCAGCAATTACAAAACTTATCACTTACTATCTAGTCAGTCACAAGCAGTTACTAAAAACAGTCAGTCACAAGCAGTCACTAAAAACAATCAGCCACAAGCAGTTACTAAAAACAGTCAGTCACAAGCAGTCACTAAAAACAGTCAGTCACAAGCAGTCACTAAAAACAGTCAGTCACAAGCAGTCACTAAAAACAGTCAGTCACAAGCAGTCACTAAAAACAGTCAGCCACAAGCAGTCACTAAAAACAATCAGTCACAAGCAGTTACTAAAAACAGTCAGTCACAAGCAGTCACTAAAAACTGTCAGCCACAAGCAGTCACTAAAAACAGTCAGCCACAAGCAGTCACTAAAAACAGTCAGTCACAAGTAGTCACTAAAAACAGTCAGTCACAAGCAGTCACTAAAAACAGTCAGCCACAAGCAGTTACTAAAAACAGTCAGTCACAAGCAGTCACTAAAAACTGTCAGCCACAAGCAGTCACTAAAAACAATCAGTCACAAGCAGTCACTAAAACCAGTCAGACATAGATCACTGTAGTTCTGTCATACCGGTGAATGAGATATAGTGTCCTGTGATGATTGTGCTGTTATAAATGGCTCAGTGGTATTTGCGATTGTCATTGTCATTGTCAGTTGTTGTTACCTTTTACATTATAACTATCGTACCCATTGTCATTACCGCTGTACACTCTCATTACCGTTGTACACTGTCATATCCGTTGTCACTTAGCCTGGAGGAGCTTCACACACACACACACACACACACACACACACACACACACACATACATCCTTAAAGCAGAAATTAACCTGTAAGTATGGTAATGACGGAGTGGTCGCTGATCAATGCAATCACTGGTTCAAGATTGGAGAGGAAATGGTCCCAGGATGTGAGCTGCCGACGGCCTGCTACTCTACTTCACGCACTCTACTGTGTGTGTGTGTGTGTGTGTGTGTGTGTGTGTGTGTGTGTGTGTGTGTGTGTGTGTGTGTGTGTGTTGTATTTTCACTATTTTCACGTCGTGTAAAAATCTGTTTCCTTCACTTATTTAAACTTTTTGTGCACTAAACTGACTGTCTATGTTCCTTACATGTTTGTCTGTTCACTTTACATGTCTCTCCACGCACTTTACAAGTCTGTTCACTACTTTACATGCCTGCCCACGCACTTTACATGCCTGTCCATACACTTCACATGCCTGTCCACGCACTTTACATGCCTGTCCATATACTTCACATGCCTGTCCACGCACTTTACATGTTTCTCCGCGCACTTTACATGTCTCCCCACGCACTTAACATGTCTCTCCACGCACCTTACACATCTGCTCACGCGCTTTACATGCCTGTTGACTACTTTACATGTCTGCCCACGCACTTTACATGCCTGCCCACGCATTTTACATGTCTCCCCACGCACTTTACATGTCTCTCCACGCACTTTACATGTCTCCCCACGCACTTTGCACGTCTGTCCACGCACTTTACATACCTGTCCACACACTTTTAATTTCTGTCCTCGCACTTTACATACTTAGCCACGCACTTTACATACTTAACCACGCACTTTACATGTCTGTCCACGCACTTTTCATGTCTTGTCCACCTACTTTGCATGTCTGTCCACGCACTTTACATATATAGCCACGCACTTTGCCTGTTTGTCTCCGCCGTCTGTTTGTCTCGGGTAATTTCCTCACGGACTCTAAATAGTTTAAAAGTGTCTGTCGTTGCTCAGCGGATCTGTTTACACACTCTACAGTATATAACTTGAGTGCGTCTGTCCATCAACTCTACTTGACTCCAGCCTCAGAGATTTCATTTTTCCGTACGTTACTGGAACTAAATCACTTAACGCACTTTACTTAGTTCCCCCCCCACCCCTCCCCCCACCCCCAAACTATAAACAAAAGAACATTCAACTACCCGGAAAACAAACATAAAGTCTTTCACGACGTAATAACAACTAAACATCTAGTAAAAGTCTAATTAATACTTCAGCCAAACGTTCACCTGTACTCTCAATAGTTACTCTATCTATACACCAACAAGAATATCCACCAGTAAACATACCTTAATGGGTCAGAAGAAGAAAATTAAAAGTCTGCTTAATTTCATCGAATTGAGTCGTACATCGAGCAAAGGGGAAAATGTTCATTGCTAGCCATTTATTTCGTGTTTCCGTATACCTGTACCTCGACACTCTGAGGCCATTTATCGCGTGCTGTTCATAAGCAGGTTCGGTGGTATAGTTTTACGTGGGGGGAAAAAAACAGAGTGGAAATACAAAAATATATAATGGGTAATGGAAGGGGAGGGGAATTATTTTCATTGTGTTTGTAAACTTTGAGACTATATGTGTGTGTTAAGAGAGAGAGGTGGAGGAGGGGAGGGGTGGTAAGGTGTGAAAGGGAGATGGTGTAAGGTTGAGTAATTAGGGCAAGATGTGAATACGGAAGGGTAAGGATAAGTATGACAGAGAGGATAGTGAGAAGGATAGAGAGGAATTAAAAAGAGACAATGAGTATAGACGAATAGAGAAGTGTAAAGGAGATACGAAGGGATTTATAAGAAAGGGGCAAGAGATGAAGGAGGAGAAGGGATAAAAAAAAAGTGTAAGTAATGAGCAAGAGGAACAAAAAGAGATATAGAGAAAGGGTACAATAAATGGGAGGTATGAAGGATGAAGGGAAATGGTAAAATAGAATGCAGGAAACAGAAAAGGATAAGTGTATACGAAGGGGGAATAAGAGGAGGGATTGTGAAGATGAGGTGACAAGAGTGAAATAGGAAGGTTAGAGAATAGAAGAATGGAAGTCTTAGTCAAAGGACCAATTTCTTCTCGTAAAACAACATTCATCCAACACATTCAGTCCAATTCCCTTCACACTTACACCCTTCTATTCTCCCTATTTTCCTCCCTCCCTATCTCCTATCTACAACATGTATTCTTCCCTACATTTCCCTTATTTGATTTTCATTTTACCCCCTTTCTCCTTCATGCCTCCTTCTCCATTCTCTCTCCTCTTCTTTACCATTTTCCACCCCCATTTCCTTCTTCTTCTTCCCTCCTTTTTCTCACCCTTTTAAATTTCCTTTAACCTACTCTCCTCTACCTCTTCTTCCTATTCTCTTTCCAATATTCCACTTCTTCTCAGACCCTTTCCACTTCCTCATTACTTAACCTCTTTTCTCTCATTTCCTTTCTCCCTTTTCCCTATTAACGTATTTTCTTTCTCTTCTCCCTACGTCTTTATTTCTCTCTTATTCCTTTTCTCTCTTCCTCCTCCCTCTTCTCCCCTCCCCGGAAACGTTACTGTTGTGTTGTGTATAATTTGTCTGGCCTTCACACACACACACACACACACACACACACACACACACACACACACACACAGCCTCCCAGCTTCCCTTCCAAGATACCGTCGGCCCAGATGGAGCCAATTCCATCCTCATTTCCGATCCTGTAGTCTCCTAATCGATGATATGTCCGACAGATCCGAGCAGCCAACCACTAGAGAAGCAGCACTGGGTTAATAGCAAATAGGAAGGGGAGTAGACTAATAGGAGGAGTGAGTGGGGTTTGTGATCTTTGCTAGTTCGTGTTGTTGGAAGCTAGTAGAGAGGAGACGAGAGAGAGAGAGGGGGAAGGAGGAGGAGGACGGAGATATGTTTACTAAGACAGCTCTCTACCTGAAGGAGGAGAGATGATTAGTTTCACCAGGTATCTATCTAAGGGGTGAGGGCTTGAGTGCTCTCGATGTGTGTGTGTGTACCTGAAGGAGGAGAGATGATTAGTTTCACCAGGTATCTATCTAAGGGGTGAGGGCTTGAGTGCTCTCGAGTGTTATGTGTGTGTGTGTGTGTGTGTGTGTGTGACTGTTGTGTGTGTGTGTGTGTGTGTGTGTGTGTGTGTGTGTGTGTGTGTGTGTGTGTGTTTCCAATCTCTCTCACCATCTATATAATTCTCTTCTCATCTGTCTTACTATTGTGGATTACCAGTATCAAGTCTATTCCATTTACATCCCAACGGTGTCATCTATTCCATTTCTCTTCCGTAAGATTCCCAAGAAACCCATCCGTATAATATCTGTTCCATCTGAGTTTCACAAAAGTGTTCCGTTTCTCATCTGTTCCATCTGTTCCATCTGAGTTTCATAAAAGTGTTCCGTTTCTCATCTGTTCCATCTGTTCCATCTGAGTTTCATAAAAGTGTTCTGTTTCTCATCTGTTCCATCTGTTTAATCTGTGTTTCATAAAAGTGTTCCGTTTCTCATCTGTTCCATCTGTTTAATCTGTGTTTTATGTTTCAGGTGTGAACTTCGTTAAACCCATTCCATTTATTTGCTCTCTGTTTCCTACGTGAATTATCTGTTTGATACTTGATTCATCTGTTTAATTTTCCTTCAGTCTGTTTAGTGTTGATCTGTTTATTGAGTGTTCCACCTCTCTAATGATCAATCCATCTGTTTGAGTAATGATCGTTCCATATCTTTATTATTTGTATATGTTGTTTATGTTGTTTATGAATGTACTTGATTTTTTACCGCCACTGATAATAGTTTTGGTCTTTCAATGAGTTCCGATTAGGTTACTCCACACCTGCCTCTTACCTGTTGCATTAATAGGTATAGCCCGCCTATATGCAAGCAACTCAATACTCTTTTGATTTCACAGTTTACCAGGAACATACATCTGGCTTGGTTATATCCAGAAGGTTGACCAGCATTAAAAAGTAAACTTGTTAACAGAGAAATATCTTTAAATGAGTATCCTGAAGTCTAATTACGTTGGTTTCTTTATCAAAACAACAAGAGAATTGGAACAGAAGTTAATAAATCTACTGAGTCACTACCCACCACACCGACCTCTTCCTCTCCCTCCCCCTGCGGATCTAATAAGCATCCTTATATCTGTCACTGTTTATTACTGAAGAAACGATGTCTCAGTATCATACTCAGGTGATAAATCATTTTATCTTTTAGTCATTTATTACGACATATTACAATAAGCTATTTTAATCCCCTCCTCAAATTTTAAAACTTTCGATATTTTTAGTGATTCTTTCATTTTCAAGTACAAGTGAAGAATCAGTATTAATATCAAATCCCTTTTCCTTGATGCTGAGGCATCGCTTACTGAAGATAATATATATCCACAATTAAGGATTACCATTTCGTCTTATTGTACATTATTATAATTTCGCGTACAAGTCTAAAGTATTCTTGATATGCACAGCTTAATATATCGTTGAATACGACTTAATTATTCTTGGGGATTAAATTATGTTTTTGAAGCCATTTAGTGATGGTCATATCCCCGGAGAAGCAATCGTATATTTTTTTTCTAGATAAATCTTAATATGTACTGTCAAGGCCAGGTCAAGTGAGTTCAGGTCAGGTCAGGTCAGGCCAGGCCATAGTTGTTGGTTGTCATGATCGAGACTTTAACTGACCATTCAAGAATCATTTGTATGTATCTTTAATGTATCATAATCTTCAATATTCCCTAATCAATG